TTGCGTTGCGTTGCGTTGCGTTGTGTTGTGTTGTGTTGTGTTGTGTTGTGTTGTGTTGTGTTGTGTTGTGTTGTGTTGTGTTGTGTTGTGTTGTGTTGTGTTGTGTTATGTTGCATTGCGTTGCGTTGTGTTGTGTTGTGTCAGTGGCGGATCCAGAGGGGGGCCAGTCCCCCCCAAACGCATGACGATTCATACCATCTGGATCACGCATAGCGTTTCTGCGATTTACGCTCCGTATATCTTAAGCGAAGCTTGGAAAACCCCCCCCCCACCCCAATACATTTTGCTGGATCCGCCACTGTGTTGTGTAGTGTATGCCGATCAAATTTAACGTACTGTAACATGATGGCATGTAACGTAGTACAGTGATACATGATGTTATGTAACGCAATAAATGAGAGCCGATCAAATGTAATGTAACATGATGTAATCACAATACTAGTACAATGCAATTCGATCAGTCATAAAGCAGTGTAACGTAATACAATGCGATTCGATCAGTTATAATGTAATGTTCTGTAATACAATGCGATTCGATCAGTTATAATGTAGTGTAACTTAATACAATGCAAGTCGACCAGTTATAAATTAGTGTAGCGTAATACAATGCAAGTCAATCAGTTATAATGTAGTGTGACGTAATACAATGCAAGTCGATCAGTTTTAATGTAGTTTAACATAATACAATGCAAGTCGATCAGTTATAATGTAATGTAACGTAATACAATGCAAGTCGATCAGTTATAATGTAGTGTAGCGTAATACAATGTAAGTCGATCAGTTATAATGTAATGTAATGTATTGTAATACAATTCAAGTCGATCAGTTATAATGTAATGTATTGTAATACAATGCAAGTCGATCAGTTATAATGTAATGTATTGTAATACAATGCAAGTCGATCAGTTATAGTGTAAGGTATTGTAATACAATGCAAATCGATCAGTTATATTGGAATGTATTGTAATACAATGCAAATCGATCAGTTATAGTGTAAGGTATTGTAATACAATGCAAGTCGACCAGTTATAGTGTAAGGTATTGTAATACAATGCAAATCGATCAGTTATATTGGAATGTAACGTAATAGAATGCAAGCCGATGAGTTATAATGTAGTGTAACATAATACAATACAAATAAGCCCATTATTATGTAATGTAACGTTAAACAATGAATTGTTATTTGATGCAAGGTAATACAATTCAAGCCGAGCAAATATAATGTTTTGATGAAATGTAATACCATGTGAAGTGTAGTGCAATGCAATTCAAGATAATGTGATTTAGTGTGATGTTATGTAAATGATGTTATGTATTGTGGTGTAACGTAACGCAATATAACATGATACAATGTAACGCAGAATCATGGAAGTCGACAAAATGTAATGATGAGAACGAAATGTGATATAGTGTCATATCATGTCATGAAATGTTATGTTTTGTAACAGAATTTAATGCATGTCGACTAATTGTATTGTAATGTAACAGCAGATGCATCTTACAGCAGTTTTGTTTGTTTTGTGTAACCATTTAAAGCAAAATAGCAAGTTAGTTAACTGATTGTTTCATCTTCCATGTGTATATCCTAGAAACGTTTACTCATATGATCTCCCTATCCAGGAATCGTAAGTGTTGGTTTTAACTTAAGTCGTCTTGCGTGTTCGAAATTGAAATAAGACGAGTTTTGAGTTTGCATTTTCGCTATCAATATGGCTCCAACATTTCACGTTGACACATTTTCGATACATAGTTTTTTATAATTTTCAAAAAATTAAGTAAGTCAATGTATTCATATTCCGCAAACTTGGAATACTATACGTGTAGATGGTATTGAAATTAATGTGTCTGCGTCTACGAGCCTGAGTAGAAATTGGTACTTCGTCCGCTCAGCAATAAATATTCTATCTGACTAAATGGTGCGTGATTTATGCTATTATTTGGCGTAATATATTCTGTACATTGGTCACGTGACTACATGTGTCTGCAAATCATTTACGCAAACGTGTGGTCAAACTGCTGGACCAGACCAAAACAACTGAATGTCACAAGATTGAAATCTGCGAGCAGTGTGAGTGCGCCATCCATTGGCGACAATTGTCAGTAAGATGCGTTGAACGGCGTAAAAGGGTGTTTTTTCTCAGTAAAGCCGGAAACCTCGAGACGTCCGGCATTTAAGTTCAATTTACACCAACATTATGGTGAAAAAAATATTGAAAATTACTCGGTTTGATATATTTTTCAGCTGGCCAAGGTTTTGAGTCATATATATTATATTCCACTGATGATGTTCAAGGGCAGTTACTTCTTTCTAAAACCAGTTTGCTATCGTTGTTCTCAAGCTGTGTTAAATCGTTAACAATTTCAGTGTTTCTGATATTTCACCCTGCAGTGGGGTCTCATGGTATGTATTTTATTTAGTTCCTATAATACAATGTATTGGTTTCACTCGTGGCTTTCCTTGGTATACATAGACGATGATAGATAATGGTGTAAAATAATGATAATTTTTTGTTTATTTTTATATGTCAAGAAGTATTTTAAAAAATAATATTCAATAGTTAGTTACGGCTTATTTAATTATATCACCCCAACAGATGACACAGTCTGGCCAATAAACCGATTCGTTGAAAACACAGTTGAAAACACAGTGTCTGATAAACACTCATGAAGTGATTAACGTACACATTGACGTCTATAGCAGTATGCTCGTAATTTGTGGGTATCAGAAGTTTTTTTTTTTTTTTGGATCATGTCATGTTCGCGGAGGCGGCGGTTTAAACATCAATACAAGTCTGAATAGTCAGTGTTTTTCGTAAAATTTGGGGATTGAGGAAACAACTTAAAAACTCAATAAACATAGTGGCGATCGAAAAGAAATGAGAACATACATTATATAAAGCTGTGTTTTGTTGCTGAATAGCGCCCAGCTTGAAAATAACTCATTATTATTTTGATGAAGGTACATTCATTTACTAGAGTCAACTAGCAGAAGGCGTGGTTAGCATAAACTAATTACTTCGAATTGTTTGTGTACATTTCGTCTTCGATTGTCAGTGAAACAATAGAGAACGTCAGTCCCCCCCTCCCATTTCAGTTGATTCATCCCTTAGTGTTTCTGTCTAAGGTTTCATGTAGGCGAAAGTGTGCAGCGAGGAATATCATTGTGATCTCAGGTAAATTACAACAGAATTTTTAATTCGTAATGCATTCATGATTTATTTATTATATATATTTGCATTAATTAACATAATCACTCTCGTTGAGGGCGCGGTATAGCAGTAACGATTTAACATTCGGGCCCAAAGCGCGATTCAGCTGGAGCCCTGGAAGCCTTTAAATATTTTTATAATAACGCTGTTATTACTCGTAATTTTCAAACTAGAAAATGTGTTCTAAAATGTCGATTTTTGTGTGTTTTTACAGTCGTCAATGTGAAGATATCTGCTCATTACGTCAACAGCCATCCCAGGATGCATTGCTTTCGCCGGGGACAAAAAGAAGAGAAAAGAAAAAGCTTTACAGAAATATGGCGGCTGTCATGGAATTAGCTCCAATCTCAGTCCCATTTTAACCACAAGAACGTCACATATTGCAGAGTTTCTGGTTTTCCACTATAGATGGACATTGGCAGAGTGTGTTGATAACACTTCTAAATATATTCGGTATGTCCATGGGCAATTTAATTTTCTCGTACCGGGGAATTTTCCACCGTTTTTCACTGCGGATATTTTTACAACCTGGCTGTGTCACGGCAACATAAAGGCCGGGAACCGTGCTAGGCTGTCGTGGGAAATAAGCTTCAGTTTCAGGGGATTCCTAACCCTAGGCTCACTGGTGATTATTACTGTTTCAGGTCTGTATCTTGTTCAGAGAAATCAACGAACGGTTGTTTTCGGCGAAAAGGTGTGGGGTTTACGGTGTTGTATTCGGATGCAGCCCTTGAGTAGCGTGTTTCTTTACACGTCGGTGTACCAAATGAGATATGGATAAGGTGAGGATTGCTCTATAAATTCCAAAGTAGTTCGTCTGCTGTTTTTGTCCCATCTCTACTACAATCATTAACACGAGGCAGTACAAGCATTTCGCTCACAACTCATGGTTTTGCTTTTTTTTTTCCCCACGTACACGCTTCATGTTTGTACTTGCGAAATGGCGACTGCGTTGTCAACATATTTTGCTCGTGCTATTTGTCACCCTTTCGCTAGTAATACATGTTGTTTTGCATGGTTTTTGCGTATTTTAGTTTCCCTACCTCGCTGACGGAGATGCTAGTCAAATATTTCCCCAACAGCTTGGCCGTATCCCACATGAATATGCCAGTTTTCCGCCCAGTTTTTCACCGAGCAGCAGCACCACCACCGAACCACTACCCCAAGACTTCATTAGTGACTATGGTCTTTACAAGTTTCCCTTGCCCTCTCAACCCCAGGTTGGCCGGGAGAAAAATTCAGCTCCAGGTGTGGAAGAAGATGAAGTCAACAGCGAACAGCAAACATCAGAAGGAAGTGGCGCTTCCAGGTAAAGCACGTTTCCATGTTTTTTTTTTTTCACCTTTCATTTTTTCCCGCGACATTTTACTAGGACTCGACGTTGTTTACATGTGGTAAAACACGTGGAAATTTGTAACATGTACTAGGGAAACCCGGAAGTGAATGTTTTCCAGTTTTTAGTGATCGGTTTTCTGTTATTTTGAAGGTTTTCTTGAGTATTCCTGCATTTGTTTGTGCAACTTTTGTGGAGTTCGTTTTGGTGATGTATAGGTCTTCAAACATTTCTGGGTTTATTTCTGTGTTTTTGACGGCTCTTCTGCCCATACCCATTCAACAATGCATTGTTTACCACATGTCATTTAGTCATCCTATTGCAAAATGATATTTTTTGGCACAAAAGAACTGATTTCCAGAAATCAGCATCTGATCATCCCAGAAGGATAGAACAATGTTTTAACAAGTCTTAGCTGGATTTGTTTCATTTTTAGAGTTGTAACCCACAGTTAAGGTAAAATCATACAAAACTGGCACTTGTCTGGGTCAATGCAATCATCACTAACTTCATAATGGTACTTTTACTGTTAAAGAAAAGAGTGGATCTTTTTAAGCAGTTTGTCATTAAGCAGTTCCTCTCAACAACAAAAATTGAGCATTTTTGAAAGGCATTTTTGTATTTACCTGCCATGGGTAGTTAGCGTTTGAACATTCAGTAAATAGTTTCTTTTTAATTCATTCAATATTGTTCCATTAAAGCTTCCTGATAGATTTGGTCACATCTAAACACTAATAACCCTTGCAGCCATTCTTTGTTTTACCATTCACCTTTCAGTATATCTGCAAATAAGCTGCCTTCTTCATGATGTTCAACCTCTCGATCGGAGGACTTAATAGTGCTTGTATTTTGCTATTTGTGTATCAGAAAATAGATAAATCAGTTTTTTCTTCTTTAAAAATGTGTCTATTTACCAGTCTGCCATGGAATGCTTTGATGCAATGCAATGGAATGTAATATTGCCTGAGATTAATATGAATTTCAGTTCAAATATTTTCCAAAAATTCGCTAGTATTTTACTTTGTATAATCTCCTATAAAGTCATTAGTTGTACACATCTACATTTTAAAACATGCTTTTGAATATATACCTGTTTATATAAATACTTTGATATCTGACCTTTCGGTCTGTTGTCTGTACTGGCTTTTTCCTCATATAGACTGGCTTTTTCCTGCCACTTTTCAGAAAATTTTCAACTTTTTTGCAGAGTCATCACTGCCACCATTCCTCACGTGTTTCCCTTGATAACCCACACTTGAATAGCAATCTGAAGTGAATTTTAGCAAAGCCACATCAACAAAAATGATTTTTTGTTGTTTTTGTCAGTCATCGTGCAGTCTTTATTGTCCTCCATCTTGAATTACTAACATAGCTGTTACAAACGTGAACAACAACAAGCTTCTTTTCCAGTCTCCTAAATAGTTTGGCTACTTTTGGTTGGCCATTTAACTGAACTGACATGCTGAGATTTTAAGATTTTGCTATTTTTTTTCAAAACAATTTCATGCTTGGTAGTTGCTTCAATCAATTAATTCTTCACTCTTTCATGTGCTGCGTCATAACATGGAGCTATTAAAAAGACAGACCTTCAGGTTTCATGTAATGTTCTGGTTAAAAAAAACAAGTGAGATTGTGAACTCACTAGATCTTAATTTCTTAAGACCCTCTGTTTAGGTAAAATTTCCAAACAATTTTTGTTGCTTGTACATATATTTTTTTTATTTGTATTTCTAATCTAGTCTCTTTTCATGCCATGAATTGTTGAAGTGGTTGTCTTTTTTGACACGCTTGCCAGGGTAGCCATTTTGTTTTGTTTTCTACTTACTTTATTTGTAGGTTCTTTTAATATGATTGTCCAGGCAATACATACACTGAAATATGTTTGTACATAGTTTTTGTGAAAATTTCCCTGAAATTATTCAACTTGAAGGATTTTTTGATTTTATTAGAGTAATGGGTCAGATCGTTGTATTTTTACATCGTGACCTTTGGTACTCCTATAATTCCAAGCATTGTTCTTGTGATTGATATGATAATCAATCTGTTTTTGAGGGTAAAAAAAAGGGCATGCTTGTCTGAAAGCTTTTGAAATTATTTTTACAAATTTGTATATCTTTTTAAAGAAATTTACAAGATTGACGATGCAGTAATAATCAGATTTTTTTTGTAACAAATCTTCAATGGCTTCATAGTTTGGTTTTAGTTGATTCTTTATAAGTAGGTCAGGTGTGTTTCTGTAGCTGTTTGTGTCCAAAAACACCATAACACATGCATGTTTGCTGTGGTACAGAGAAAGAAATCATCCCCCACCTTCCTAATATTTCACTTAGTACTATATACATTGCAGTTACAGGAAAGCACACTGGTCATCAGATCAAACAGGTGACAAAATATGTACATCTCATTCTATCATTGATAATAAAGACACCAATAGTAGTTTTATGATTAATTATGATAGCTATGTGAATATCTTGGTACCTATTATCTATATTGCAGGTTTGCAACACATGTTCTGTGCATCCCCTTTACAATTAATGTATTAAATGAAATGACCTTTCTATTTATACCCAGACATCAGTTCTTGGTAAACAAATCCTAGTTTGCATTTGAATATCTGTTGGTAATCATCGAATTGCTAGCAACGCTGATTGGTTACAATTTAACCCTAGGGATGCAGGCTGTATTGGTGACTGTCTCTCAAAAATTGGCCATACATTTATCACATTAATATCATACATATACTTTATCATGAATAGGCAGGGTATTCTTTTGAAATGGAAATGTTGCCAATGAAGCAACACTGTTCCTAGCTGTTGTTCCCTCTGGTGATAATTTTGCTGATCTTGCAGTATTATTGAAAATAACCTAAATTATCAATGTGAGGGTATGTTAGATTTATGCAATCCCACCTGTAGGAATGTGCAATGTCTATTTAGTTAATATAAGGGCTGTGTAAAGACGCAATACTGTGAAGTTTATGTTTTAGGTACGCTGTTAGATGCCAGTAATACAGTACTGTGTTTTGTTTGTTTCTGTTGTTTCTCATCTTAGTGGCAGCGCTTTCTAATTTCATGTTATAGGAAATAGTGAGCAAGGAGTCGATCACAGTTTATGCAGACACCACAGTTTATGCAGACACAACAACAAATGCAGCCCTATAGATGCACATGCACAAGTTTTCCTACAGTTAGCATGCTCCAATAGTGATCATGTTGGAACCCTTGGTTCGTGTGCATGACTGGCAGCTCATACAAGAAATTATGTAGTATCTTTAGTGCATACCTGCAGTCAGCATGTACAAGAAAACGATTGCGTTTTTCTATTCTCATTTGTTTCTCGATTCATATGTTACTGTATTCATTCTTATTTTGTATGCCTCCTCGCTACCACTTGTTGTATGAAGATCACCATTCCTACCCTCCCCACCCCATATTCCAAACATTGCTGCATGATCATGTTCCCACTAACACAGTGTTAAACTGTTTTTTGGAATGTTTCTGTAGCAGTTTAGTAGCCTTTATTTCCTGTATTCCCGGTCCTTTCAGTCTCCAGTGTTAAAATTGTTGTGTAGACAAAAACTGACAGGCAGGCTTACATAGCATTAAAATTTCAGGTGGCGTGTTTTCTCAGAAGAGCTGGTTTATTCTACATTGCTTGTTGAGGGGCCTTCAGAGGACTTTTTGGTCCTGTTGTTATTGTCTGATGCATTTTGTTACATTTTTTACGTTGTTTCAGATGAGACTAACTGTTCCTAAAAGCATTGTACGACAGGAAATAAAATCTCTGCTTTGCTATTAACTCATTAACTTACATTTTTACTAAGTTCCCAAATTAATTTGACATACCAAACCTTTTGCACAAACATATTATTTTTGTTTGTATTATGGAAATTACCACGAAAGAAATGTGCGATTGAATTTCTTTTGGAACTGTATTCGGGTATCTACACTTTGCATCTAATTTAAAATGAACTGTGTTGGGTACTTCTCAGTGTTGCACACACTATCCTGTTATTTAAACTCTCTCGAATGTTCTAGAATATAATAATACATGCCAGAAGGGGCCCCCTGCAGGTCAACAATAGACTGTGTTGGCCAGCCCACCTAGATAGCAACTGTCAATACACTAGCTAACATTCCAGGTTACTGAGAGTTCAAACCATGACCTTTGACCTTGCCTTGTTACCCACAAAATTTGTTATATTTTTATTGTCCAGTTTCTTCAGGTTCTTCTTTTTCTTGAATTTATTTTCCAAATTGAAGCAAATATAATACGTACAAGGCATATAGAGTAGGTTGTGTTTTTGTCGTCTGCTAGCTTCACGTACATGTGCTTCCAACTGGGTTTTGCTAAGAGTACAGTGTTTGTTTTGATGAAAAATGTATGAAAATGCACATTTTTGGTATTTCTGTTTTTTTAAGTCTTGCAACATTGTTTAGTCTCTACTTTCTTGTAAAAATCACAAAATTTTACTGAAATCCGTAATTTTTTTCATTGATGAGATTTTTAGTTGTAATCATTCTACTATAGTAATACGTGCAAGAGCATTTTCTTAACTATTTTTAAGTTTCAAGTTGAAAAATTACTTTTCTGCTTGTAAAATAAAACAAAATCTGTGTTGCATTTCACATTATGGCATATTTGCTACAGTGCAGCAGGGGCCTCAAAGGGATTTTTCAACATGTGCAATTTTTTTCATTGATGAGAAAATTTGGTGTCTCTCTACAATCTTACGCTTTTACTATAGGTTCTATGGGATATAACATTACAAAAACGTTTCTATATTATTTCAGTGTTATTTATGTAAACTGTTCCAAATTATTAGTAATTTTTTTCTTCTTTTAGCATTATTTTCAGTGTAGACTTCGATACTAGTTAATTTTAAATATTTTAAGGAGTTATTTTTACTGATTTGGTAATAATTGTACCTATTTAAAACTTAATATTTAACTTTTTGTCCTGAAGTTGGCCAAATAAGGTTGTTGTGGATATTGCATATGTATTTATTGGTTCACATTCTTAAGGGACCCCAAAAAGGAACATGTAGCCTATTTATGCTTGTGATTGCACATTTAAATTTTCATTTTCAGCTTCATACAGTATTTCAGTATTTTCATAGATGTCTATGACGTTGCAGCACCATTGGGCTACATGTCTAAACTCTAACGACCCTGATGTAGTTTGGATAAAGTTGCTGTATCTGGTGATAGTCATATGCTAGTATTAACCGCTGTATTTCCCTATATCTTCAGTTTGTAAATTGTAGTGTTTTTCTCCCCTGCTTTTCAATTTTGACCTGTTTTGCTCCGTTGGTGGCTATCTGGTATAGAATGGCGTGTATAAAATCTAAAAAGACAACTTACATCAGTGTCTGTCTTATAATTATATTTCTTTGTGTCAACCTTCAAACTTGCCTGACTGCAGTAAAAAATAGATATTTAATTTATGCTAAAATACCATGATTTTAGTTGTATGGCTGATTGACATGTTTATTCATAAGTATCTTGATTTCTGTGTTTGATTACTAACTGGGCCTCATAAGATGTTTTTCATTTCAATATTCAACTTGCAATAAACAAGCATTTTTAGGGCCAATCACATAAAATTAATGTTTTCCCCTGTATCGACCCATAACTGAGAAAGGTGCACTGCTAACTTTAAATGGAGTTTATAATCTGCTGTAAAACACTGTGAATGGATGGATGTACCCACTTTTTTGAGACTATTCTTGTGCGTGCGACTTGAAACGTGTACTTATTTGCATATGATTGTGCAAAATCTGCACTGCTGAGAGATTGAAACCACAAGAGCTTGTTAGAATATACTCCAAAGTATAGATTCTGAAATCAAGGCCAATACATGTACCTAGAGGATGTGTTGTAAATTGATTTCATTCTTTAATAGTTTCTCTTTAGAAGTTACTTTACACAGGTCTTCATTATAGTTCTTGAGGAAGGCATTGTGTTAACCCTAATTTACATTTCCTTGACCCTAGCAAATAAAGAAGGACCTTCATTTGAGGAAAATACAATAAATTTATTGTCAATCCTTTCACTCATTGACTTTTACAAAATGTTGACACAAATCTATAAAATCATATCACGAAAATTATGGCAGTGAAAGTTCAGCTGTTTACAGTTTTCTACATGCATTGTATATGTGTCTTGTATCCAAGTATGAGGTGTTAATGTGTCACTATAATACAAGTTGTCCCTTGTTAAATAATTGTCATAGGAGGGAATTTTAATTTAGGTTTGCTAACAAGTTTTTGGTATTTTATTGCCTTGCGAAAACCCATACTATGAGGATGCCGCAAAGTATGTACAAAGACGGTCCAGTGAGAGTATTGAAAAAAAACCTTCCCTCCTTGTGTGACCGTGTGTTGTCAGTGTACTTACAATAACATAATAACCTTATCTATCCCAATCCAATTGCTTGGTGTGAGAAGCCCAGAACTGGGTAAAATAGTCGACATTATATTAACTTTTTTGTTGTGAACTTAACTTCCAAAAACCTCCACTATGTTGGAAATATTGCATAATAATATTTCCAACAACAAGGTAGAATTCAGATGCCTTGTACATTTCTAACCTATAAAATATAGATAGGTGACAGATGTATAATATACTTTCTTTTGAAGGTATTTTATACTTCCTTGATTAAAATTAGGTCAACCTTTTCACTTTGGCGCGTAGATGTTTTGACTTGACAAGTTGTTTGACAGCTAGCAAAAAGATTGGGTGTCGCGCATTGTCCGCGACGCCTTTTTTATGACGTTTTGAACACTTAGTCAATTTGAGCAGTATTATTTGTACTAATTCCATGCATGAGACGAATAAACAAGTTGCATAAATGTTCTTTGACACTAATAGTTAATCAGTTTCAGTATCCCTATCCAAAAAAACACACCAGAAATAATTGCTTTTACTAAAAATATCATTAAAAGCCAATCCAACTAAGAGGGAAAAAATGAAATAGCACTCGAGACAAGTTTGGTGATTTGTAATTTTAGTTCAATGAATCAAACTATGTCCCAAAAAGTTTGCTATACTGTCATCTGTGAACTCTGTATTTGTTCAATGTCCCTCTCCAGATTTGTTGATTAAAGTGTTTGCTGCTATAAATCTAGTGTCAATAATTGATTGGGATCTGCTTTAATGTGATAGTGTGTGTGTGGGTGACCTTTGGTGTTTAATGTATTTATGATAATGTAGTTTGCCTGACTTTACGCCAGTTATTTGTAGTTTTCCCTTGGTTTTGGTGTTCTTTAATATTGTCAGTTTAGACAAAAGCCTACTTGAAAATGAAAATACCCAGAATTTATTCATTTTTCGATAAAGTATTTTTAAAAGATGTGGATGGTGGCATTTTTAGCTCCG